TATAGTACAAAAACAAAAAAAAAACACTTCTGAAACTAGCCCCTTTGGGGATCCAACCTTGTCAGGGGTTCCTGCATAGTATGCACTGTACCAGCCAATGCAGATACATGATGTATATTATTAGTTGATGACTGACAATGTAATGTCAATCTAAAAATAATTAAAAAAAATGGTGGATTGCCATAAAACAGTTCTGAAAAAAATGGCAGAGGCCACAACAGGGCCCCCAAGAAACACACAAATCTGATCGGGGGGTGGGTGGTTAAGACATGCTGACCCTGTTTGTAAGTAATCCCAAATGAACAACACTGTTTCCAAATAGCTCAGTTTTCTGAAGAAAATCAAAGAAAAAGCTACTCTATAGTAAAACAAACTTTAAACACACATACACACACAATATTGTTGTATATTTCAACTATAATTTTTTAGAATAATATAATAATTGCAAAAATTTGATAGAATAAAAAAGTTTTTTTCGTTTATTTCCATCCTAGGACTGTAGAAAGCAATTTAAGTATCTCACTAGTACATTTGGCTCATAAACAAGCTAAAACCATAAAACAATCTTCTAAATCCCAAATTCCTCCCCTTTAGACTTGTGCCAGACTAAACGAAGTTTAGTAAATAAAAATTAAAAACTGACATAATTACTGAGATTTAAAATTACATTTAATGTAACAAAATTAATCTGTGATAAGTTTTTTTTCTATTAGTATAATTTAAAATTTCATTAAATTTTTTAATGTAATATTCCTAGCATTTTTATTCTTTTAATTAGTAATTGAATTATTCCATATTATTTTAAAAAATTTTTCATATTGATATCATTGCCTTAAACTATTTAATAATCAAAGTCAATTGACCTTTATTTGTTGAACTTGCAATGGTTCTGTTACATTAATGAACTGACTTTAAAGTACATTGCTACTCTTCAGAATTGTAGAATATATATTTTATATTTTGATCTCATAAATTCTGCAATTTTATGAGGTTGACATTTGGTCTTGAAAAATGCAACTATTAATTTGTCTATATACAGTTGCTAGATTTTTATCATATCAGAATCCTTTATTAAAAGAAGTTTCTATAAATGCATATGCCTTTTGACTAACTTCCTATATGCAACTCAATAGAATGAATCTTAATTGTCAGCATTTGCTGCCTTCTATAGTTTTAAGAAATTTAAAAAACCTTTACTTATTTCTGGGATTCCTGTCTGGCAGTTGTAATATTTTCTTAAATTCCTCATTAATACATATTGAGCCAAAATAAATATCCCTTAACATCTTTATTCTTAAAATTGCTTATTTGAAATAGGTGGTATGGGACGCAGTAATTTAATTTAAAAAATAAATACATTTTTGTAGAAAAGATTTTTTTTTCTTTTTTGTTCACCTTTGACAATATTTCAATTGTAACAACTGTTTGAATTATCCTGAAACAACATCTCTCCTACAATAATCAATTACTGCTTACTCAAATCAGACAAAAAATGTAAATTTATTACATCCTATTTGTGACACATTTTGATTAATGACACAAAGATTTAGATGATAACTTATATAAAAAGTACCCCCCACACCCCTCAGGTGTTGAGTTTCTTGCCAAAATATTTAATTCACACTTTCAATTAGCAATAATTCATATAGCATTTATAGGTATTACAAGTAATATGGGAATTGTTGCAAGTATACAGGAAAATGGATATAGGTTAGATGCTACACCACTGATTAAAGGACTTTAGCATCTGTTAGGAGGTTTTGAAATCCACCATTGATACTGAGGGACATCAATATCTCAATATGGGTACTTGTAACACAGTAATATTAGCTATAGACATAAAGGAATGGCATCATTTTATTTATTTATTTACTGCCTTCCCTTCATTACAAATACAGAGAGAATGCATTTTTAAGGTATGGCTCCCTTGTTCATCAGTTCATGACTCCTTCAAAGTGTATGTAGACTTGCTTCTCTCTTTCCGCTGTAATTTTTCTCATTTGTTTTGTTTTTTATTAAATAAATTAGCAGTGCTTTCTATTTTTGCAAATCTTATACTTTACAAAACAAACTAAATATATAAGGATGTAAAATGTATATGCACAAATAACATTCTTATGACTTATATGAAAAATACTGAAATTTTCTGGCCACCAGTCAAGAGCCACAAACATGATGGTACTGTAAATTGATTAAATTAAATCTTCTCTTGAGTAAAATTGCAAGAAGGAGAAAAATGTTAGTTTCTGTTTTACTGTGGATAAATCTTAAACTGTTGCATTTAGATTTTAATTAAATCCCCACCACCCCTCATTTCTCTTTTATGGGAGTAAGCTTTGTGAAGATTTTGCTGTATGTTACTCACTGCTTTTCAGTCTTTTGTGTACTTTTCACTGATTAAACTATTTTTTTTTTGCCCATCCCACTGACTGGAAAAATATTGATTATTTTTAAATTTAAATGATTTGAGTTAAATGTAGCTGCAATAAAAGCTGATTAAAAATAATGTTCTATTTCATTTTTTAAGGATTTTTCTGTTAAATGATTGCACTTTTTCTTATATGCTTTAAATTAGCTTGCTATTCTATTTTAGTCTTTTTTATTATAAATGTTTATTTCTAATTTGAAACTTGATTTTCTTTTTAAAGACTTTCAAGATTTACTTCTCATAAATATGTATAAAGACAACTTTGTTGAAAAGATTTTATTTATTTAAAAAAACTTTTAAATTGCTGTTATTTTTAAATTCTTAAATGTGATGGGATGAGAATTTTTCAACATCTCCTCATACTTATATCTAAAAAATTCTATCAAAATTTATTACTCTACCTATTTCTCTTCAACACAGTTTTTTTTTATACACAAAGTTTTCTTGCTTTAATATAGGATGTATGTTGTAATGTAATAAATATCAGCTTGGAATGAGAAATTGAAGAGACAAGTTCAAATTCTAGTTGGGTTTGTTACATTCTCTTGCATGCAAATACCCTTGGGAAAGGTATAAATCTATCTCTCCCCACCCCTGCAGCTATGGATTTAATAACAGGACAGACTGGGTCCTGTAGCTTTGGTTGGCAACCAGTCTACTTCAGAAAGAAACGGCAACCTACTGCAAGAAAATCTGTCTAGTAAGTCATGAATCAAGAGTTGTGATTGCCCTGGTGTGTATTACATATGGCACTTAACTGACAGTTAATATAATATAATATTATATAAAAAAGTTTTTCTTTAGAATCTAAATCCACTAAAAATGAAATATCAATCTATTCCTTCATTGTGCATTTTATAAGTAAAACAACATAAAAGGAGTACCATAGAAAATCAGTTTCCTCTTAGTTGAAGGTGTCATTGTTATACCAGATTATAATGTCTTATTGCTGCTTAGATTACAAGTTTTGTTTTAACCACTGATTAAAACAGAAGTTGTGACCTACATAATATTCTGTTATGAATTTTAAGAAGCAAATCTCTATAAATTGATTGTCAATTTGTTCCTTTAACTTTAACTTCTCACATGTATTTTATTGCATAGTTATTGTACAAAAAGAAAAAATAGAATGATTTTCTATTTTTTCACATGAATTAAACACTTGATAAAAAGGTCATAATTGAAAGAATTTTGCCTGATTTAACTTGCTTCAGTTTTACTGAAATGCTTTTATCAAAATATAAAATTTTAAATTGGTTTCAATAAGAAGTGTAATTCCTTTTCATTTGTGTTTAATTTTTTTTTCTTAATTACAGTCTAATTCTCAATTTTTCTCACTCTAAAACTATTTCTAAATGAATTTCATAGTTCTAATGAGTCAAGGACATGTAAACTTATATCCTGCTGTATAATCAAAGAGCAATATGTAAAGTCTTATAAAAATTAACAGATAATTTGTTCTCTAAATAGCTGTGGGTTTTTATCTCATAAATGAGGAAGCTTACATACATAAACTCTGTTAAAAAAACAAACGAGGAAAATATGCAGATATCTCAAAGCTTATCCTTGTTGTCAATATGCAACAAAAATATATCTTAATCATCTTGAGCCTTGTGATATTCCAAAATTATTTGTCTGCAGAGCCCAACAGTAAGTTTTGATAATTTTAATCTGGGTTTACACTAGGTGTGTACTATTATTCAATTAGCTCCTAAGAGTGATACATTGTGTATTTCAAAGTTTACTCTAGAACTGACCAACAGTTTGCATCCAAAAAATTAATAAATTATTGTAAGAGATATATATTTACTCTTAACAGAAATAAAATCTTTACATTTATTGTATCAATGACTTTTTTTCATCCGGTTGATTGACAGTCATATATCAGGTAACATTTGTAATTCACATTTAGTGTTAATTTTTCTACTGTAAACAGAATAACATTTGATACAGATATTTTGTTAATTGCTGCATATTTTGCTGTTTATGCATTTGCAGATTGACAGATGTAATTTTGACGAGTTTTATTAAGTTTACAGCAAGCATATTTAGGATATGGCTTTGTACCAAACTAAAATGAGTTTAGTTAATATCAAGAGTGTATTTCAGATGTTTTATTTCCATTTTGCAATTTTATTTTGTTGATTTGTAATTTTTTTTCATTATCTTTCTATTTATTTTATCATTATGGTGCACATATAATCCTTAATTAAATTGTTCATAAGCTGCCATATTCCACTTCAATTAACATTTCTAAATTTTGTTTATAAATTTGCAAAGCACTTCTAATGAATCTGTGAATTGGTACAAAAGATGTTTACTGCTTTTTTTTTTTTCTTTTTTTTTTTAGTCCATATAATTTAAATATTTTCTCTTAGCATAACTGTTTAAAATTGGTGAGTAAAATAAGATTTTATTTATGCTATAGTTTATTCTGATGTTGCAATGAGATGAACCAGGATATAAACAGTACAAGATTGAAAAGGTTTATATGTAGAAGACAGGTTAAAAATGCTAAATCTATATAGCCAACAAATTCATTTGACAATAACATAAATTTATCTCTTTGCAGGTGTGTGATATGTATGGGAGAATTTATAATTGGTGATGCTCTTCGTTACCTGCCCTGTATGCATACTTACCACAGAGACTGTATTGATGACTGGCTGATGCGATCTTTTACATGTCCATCATGTATGGAACCTGTTGATGCTGCTTTATTGACAACATATGAAACCAACCAATGAACTGCTGTTGACCACTGCCTAGCTAATATTCAAAATAAAATGCAGGCGCCCTCTGGTGACAAGCACTTGCTTCTTGCCCAATGCTCTTTCTCCTACCAAACTCTACCACTTGTCTCAGCTATTGTAGCTGGTCTTGGTTTTTCTTTTCTTTAATTTTTTTTATTTTAGATGAAAAATGTGGCAAGAAAAACATGGTGGAGTGGAAATAAAAAAAGAATAGAAGAAAGAGTCCAAAAAAAAAAAAAAAAAAAGAACAAATTCATTTTTTCCTGCAGGGCACTGAAATCAAGGTTGGACAAGTATGGCCAGAACCAAGGGCAGATAACTGTGACCTGAAAATGAATTTTAAGGATTTTTTTTTTTCTAACTGCACATAAAAAAAAATTATTAAAAATGAAGAAATTAAAAAAAAAAAAAAGTGCAGTGATTAATGTCTTTCATGTGCAGTCTGACTGCTTGCGTATGTATGCGTTGGTGGAGTTGGCCATTGTTGTTCTTTTATTTCTCATTCTCCTGTTCTCTTTCTGAACTGATATTTCTTTGGCCAATACTCAGCCTACATAGATGAATGTATGTAAATTATTCAAGAGCCTTGTAAAGAAAACAAAAATTGATAATTTTTTCACCATTTTGTTTTTTTTTTTTTTTTTTTTTTTTTTAAGGAAAATTTTTTTTTCACAAGCTTAAAAGAGCTTAAAAGTATTTTACTTTAATAAATGTGGACAAGATGACTTGATTCCACTGGAGATATTTTGCCAAATCTTTTGGTTCTGTTCTGTTATCAGAACTTATTATACCCAGAATGTGATATCATGTTATTTCTAAATATTATTTACCATTGATTGTCACAGAATTCTAGAGAGAAAAAATGATTTAAGAAAACTGTTAATGTTGGTTGTTTTTTTCTGTATTCTTAGTTTTTCTTTTAGCTTCAGGGTTTGGCTTACAGACTTTAATATAGATTTGTGTTCCTGAGAATAGACATTCTCACATTTGTATTTTTAATTCGTTTATTATTATTATTATTATTATACATTTTAATTGGTTTTTCTATATTTGTATATAAATAACACTTTATTTTTTTTCTTTTGTCAGTGTCACCATATAACAGAACTCATCTTAGTTGATATGTCATTGACTATATATTTTTTATTTCTCTTCATTTTAATAACAAATGTTAACATTTGGTTGAAAAAAAAAAAAAAAAATGAAAACCCAACAAATTTCTGATTCCACATTGAAATAGTGGCTCTTAAGTTTTTTCCCAGCCTTATCTTATTTGTGGTATTGTCCATATTCTTCCAGGTGCCACTTAAAATAGGTAACAAAGCATCAATTCTTCCATATTTTTTTCTTTCCTTGTATCAAAATAATTGAAATTTATTTATCTATCTATACATAAATGGATACACACATAGAATTCTGGGGTTGTTAGTAAATAAAGTCCTCATCAAACTGGAATGTACTAAGGAAGAAATTATATCCCAGAAAATATACACAAGAAATAAATATAAAAGAATTTATTTTTCATTTAAAGATTTTATGCAATTTTTTTGTTGTTGATTAACAAAGTTTCCTGGAACAGTTGCACATATATAATTATTATGTATTTATTTATTTTATATACACACACACACACACACACACACACATCTGACCATTCACATGTTCAATATGGCTACCAGTTGCTCTGAAACAATAAAATCTGAAAGGCAATTGTATAATGATGCTTTACATGTAGGTACATGTGCTAATTTGTATTTGCACATTATTCTAACCCACTTCAAATGAAAGATGAGGTGAGCGTGTGCAGTGTTTGACATCACAGTTTTTCTCATCTTCTTTGCCTCCCCACCCATCAGAGTGTGTTTCTTTTAGCATAATCACCAATCATCAGGTCATTTAACCCAATTACTTGAATATATCGAATTAGAAATTGAAGTTTTAGATATTTCTTTCATGACAGAAAATTGAATTTGATGTTGAGTTAAACTTGCAGGTTTATTAATTAGTTTTAAATGCTTACTTTCCAACTTTGTGGTGAGTTAAGTAAATTGGTGACGACGTGTAGAGAACATACTGGTTGGAAATTAACAACAGCCAAAACAAAGATTAATTTAAAAACAAAACACTAAAAATGTATGAATGCTAAATGATACTATAAATAGTTAATGTTACTTGCAAAGTTTTTGTTTTTGACTTTTAAATTTTATAAAAAATAGTGAATAGTTTAGGAAAAATATGGATGCTTTATTTTACATTACATCCATTTACAATATTTTCTCTATTAAGTCATGCTGTGTGTGTGTGCATGCGTGCACACATGTTTTTAAGTGTGAGACAGAATAATTCAGCCTCCAAAATTTACCTTTAACTGGAATTTGGTATTAAAAAATTATTTGAAAGCACAAATAACTTCTTTCTCTCAACAATTCTGCAAAGTGCAATTTCTCATTTTTTTCTGTCTTCTTCATTTTTAGCAGTTATAACAGTTTAACAGTTATGGAAGAAATCTTTTCTTTTCTGTCCTCAGTTTTTAAATAATAAAATGTAACTATCCATTTCAGCATAAAATTAAAGAAAATTATCTTGACTCTCTTAGTGCTAAAACAGTTGATTTTTTATTAATTTTAAAAGAAATTCTAAACTACATCTACTCAAATTCTGATACATGTGTTTGTGCAAAAATTAAATTAATGTCTCGTTTTTTTTTTCACTTGTTTTTAACAAGGCACTTTATCTTCAGATATCTTTTACTATTTTGAGATGATTTCTAACCAAAGCAATGTGACTACAGTATTGGTCAAAATAAGACAACAATTTATTCAGATGTATTTCTTATTAATAGCAATCACTGCAGGGGATTGAAATTTACAGAATTCATAGATCTTGGTATATGCTTCATGTATGAAAAAAAGTTTATCAAATGTTGTTGTAGATAAAGGAACTTTATTTGAAAATTACAGTGAACAAAATAACAGAATGAGTTTGCAATATGGGATAAAGTTTACAAAGTTAAAAATTGAATATTTGTTAATATTAGTATGATGTATAGAAATTTTTCTTAGCAATAACTTCATCACACTGACATAGCATGTTTCTTTCACAGACTATTCTTGATGGAATTTAAGTTTGGATTTTGTGCAAAACCATCTCATTGAATCAATGTTCTCTTAAAAAAACAACAATTGTTACTTATTTAGCAGTGAAACAAGGAGTGTCATCCTGTATAAAATGATTGGCTGGCAGGCTGGTTGGGATATGCTTGTAGAGAAGGAATAACATGTTACTTTTCTAAGTTTAGATACACATTAGCATTTATTCATGATAGGTTGAACACCTTCAGAGGAGAACATCTCCCATATCCCATACTGTGACACTTGCCTCTCCAAACTTTTTGACACGCTTTGGTTTAAGTCTGTTGTCTTTATCAAACTGTCTGCCATCAGATTGAAATTGAATTTACTTTCTTTGCTGAAGTGAACTTTAGACCAATTCTTCACTTACATAACAATGTGTTCTGTATATTCAAATCTATCCATTGTATTCTTTTTGATTTTAAGTTTAGTAGTTGGAAAGTGAGATTTCAGTCTAAATTCATTCTATCATTGAGACACTGTAAGGTGGCTAACCTTGTGATCAGCTTTTATTTACCTTGAAATCTTCATCTTTACAATTTGTTATTGAAGTACTGCATTTACTTTGGCATATTTGTGGCTTATCTGGCAGTATATGCAACATGGAGAACATTGCTACCTTTCTTTTAGTGAGGTCAATATTGCTACATGCTATGAGAAATTTCTAGAATAAGATAAAAAAATAAAACAATTTTCTTATTTTATTCACTGTATTTTATTAAAATAAAGAGTTTTTTTAAATAAAATTTTCTATAACCACTTTCAATAAAAGCTTTTTCAAATATGAAGTATATAAGAACTGATTTCTATAGTTTTATAAATCATGTGGCAATTGTTATTAATAAGATTAATTTTAAATAAATTGTTCACTTAAGAGGGTGTGCTGAAAAGTTCTCAGCTTGACTAAGAAACTCTTTCAAAAAATAAAAATCTGATATTTAGTCAGATTTTGGGAAATAGGTTGAGTTGGGAACTTTTCAGTGCCCCCACTCCCTCATATTTTGACTGGTTCCATATATTTCTTATAAATTGTGGTAGGTTTCTTTTGAGCCTATTTTACTGTTGGAGGCTTTTCTTAATATCAATTTTTGAGGGTATATGGTATATTTAGACTTGACCAACTAAAGGAAACTAACAGGTACTAAAATTTACTCAGTAACCTGGAATTGAATGATAAAAATATGAATGAAATTGTGGCAACATTAAGAAATTTCTACAGGCAATAAAATGATTTGTTGAAACATTAGTGCATACCCAACCTGAGAAAGGTTATTTAGCTTTCAAAAATATCTTTTATCTTATATATAAAATAATTTCAGCAATATTTTAAATGCTTAAAAATATTTTTAACTACTTTTGCATTAGCTGTGAATAATTACTACATAAAAAAATTATTACAAAAGTTTCTGTGTGTATGCCCACATGTGCTAGTGAGATTTGAGCATTATGTACAAAACGGTAGCCTAGATACGCTTATTCATTTAAATTTTAAATGCTTTGTATGACTTCTGAAAAGCTATCCACTATTTGTAGAAAGTACTTGTAAATTTGTATATATAGCATTAAATTTCTTAACAATTACATACTGACATTGACCAAAATGAAATGATTGAACACAATTGAGTAAAACATAAAAACTGAAATGAGCTAATCTAAAGAAACTATCATTGTTTATCTACAAAGCAATATGAAAATAGTACTTGATAGTTATTAAAACTTTAAATGCATATATGTTGACATAACTTATATAGAAATAAGTGGCATACTTAAATCAGGCAGATGGTGGTTAATAGTTTAATAATGTTTAAAATGGTTGTGCATTTATAAGTAAATGGTTAAATAATGAATAAGGAGCCAACACTA